TGACTTTTCTTTTTTTTTTTGCAGGTTTGCAAGTGTCCGTTGGCAGGAGCAAAAAAAGAAAAAAAAAATTAAACCGGCACCGGTGACGAAAATTGGGAACCAGAGACGGTACCGGTTCCAGGAACCGGTTGCTCGTCTCCGGTGACGGTTACGGTACTCGGTACCGGCGGTACCGTTGCCGGTGACGGTACCGAACCGGTACCGTGTCTAGGCCTAATTGCAGTGGGTCGGAATTTTTATTTCTCGAACTAAAGAATAGTCACCACTCCCAAACTAGTAATTAAAAAACCATAATTACGAGCTTAATCCGAGGGTAACAATCTCGCATCAGTTACAGATCAACAACATTGAAGCCATATACTCAGATCAGCAGCCTTTTGAACCAAAAGAACATAGGTACCTCGTACTCAAACGAGCAAAAACAATACTTCTTCCTACCAGGAAAATAAAGTCACATTTAAATCCTTAGCCATAGACCATAGTCCCCATCAGACGCATCGTAGCACTCACATAACCTGAATACAATGAATTAACGGGTCGATTTGCTACTAATTCGGTATCTAAAAACAATATTTTAGAAACAACCATTTAAAAACTATACTCCGTATTATAAATAACATAATCAAAAATATTTTTCAATATATTATCAATCATTATCGGAGATTTCATAACAGTGCGGAAACAAATATCATTGTTTGATCATTACCAAAATTAATTCATTCAAAATTCGATTTAACTGATCAGTAGTTTGAGCCCACATCCGTACATCTCATCCATCTTGCTGCTTCTCGGGGAATATTCCATCGGTAACATAAATCACACTGCACCCGCGTGTAGCCCAACACAAAAAATTGTTTTCTTTATCATCTTCCCGGCAAATTCTTTCGTAGACTTAAAGTTTGTCATTTTATGGACTATAGAGTATTTATATCATAAAAGTAAAATTTTTGCAAAAAAAATCCTATTCCCATGTAAAATATGAGAAAATCTATATTTTAATTTTTAAATATGAACTTTAAGACCATATAAGGATGATTCTTCATTCTCATCTTATTTTCTATTCTTTTAGTTTTGATTTTTTATTAACCCCAAACCCCAAATATTGTCAGCGGCCCATCTCCATCACTAATTCGGAGCAAGCCAGCCCGGCCCGTCTCCAAGTCCAACAGTCAACAGATCTTCTCCCCGCGCCGATTATTTCCCGGTCGTCATCTCCGTCTTAGATGGCTTCTTCTCTCGCATTCCGATCACATCATCGCATCTTCTCATCTATCACATTACGCCGACCAGAAACCAATTTCTCCTCCGGAAATCACAATGGATCCCTGGATTCAACCCATAAATCACGGCGGATTCCATCCGGATTCGCGATGTATTTGGCCCGTACCTAGCAGCATCGGATACTCTGTCCTTCTACAGAAATGAGTGGAAATCAGGCTTGAAGTTCATTTTTCCTGTTTCATTTACAAGGGAGGGAAGCCATGGAAAACTGTGAAGCTCTTCAAGGAAATAAATACAAAAGGGATTGAACTGAGTTTTGAACCAAACGTGACAACATAATTATAAAGCACTTGTGTGAAAATATATGAGGGTTGAGGATGCACACAAGGTGTTCGATGGAATGTGAGTTTTGAACCGAATGCAATTTCTTCAGATGTCTTGAAAAGCCAAGCGAGGAGTTAAACGGAGGGTGGATACATGTGTGATGCTAATGAGTAAGTTTGGATCCATTTTCATATAGTGAATTGGCTGAAATTGTTCAATATCTTGTGGATATAAATCTTTTGGTTACATACATTGCAGCAAAATGAGTCAAAAAGTGCTTAGTTTGCTTGTTGTAAGTTGATTGTGGCAATGTGGCCACTAGATAAAACAAGAAAACATAACCTAAGTTTTCTTTAGTACATATATATGTGCAGGATATTGAAGTTCAAGTCACAATATATTATATATAGTGTTAGAACACTATACAAGTAAACATATCTTGTCTTTGGACAGGTAACAGAAGAGAAGCCAAATATAATAACAGTATTTCTTGATCTTATAACATCATTTAATTGCAGATTAAGCAGATCACATAAGAAGATCACATAAGCATCTCCGTTTTCAGTTCCATCTGTCCATGGCCGCTAGGTAATTTGATTCTCTATTACACTTTTAAATTTTTTCCATCATCTCCGATGGAGCCAAAATTTCACCATTTTTTGGCTTTGGGGTGTGATGGAATATATCAAAATGGATCTCTAAACTATCTGCGCTTCTTTAATTAATGAAGTAGCAGTTAGTCAAGCAATGCAACTTTCGACGTTGAGCCGGGGGTCTCTTTGGAAACAGCCTCTCTACTTTCAAGTAGGGGCAAGGTCTGCGTACACACACCCTCCCCAGACCCTACTCTTGTGGGATTTAACTGGGTTGATGTTGTTGTTGTTGTATTACACTTTTAAATTTTAGCATCAGGTGATTTGATCATCTTTTTCCATCATCTCCGATGGAGCCAAAATTTCACCATTTTTTGGCTTTGGGGTGTGATGGAATAAATCAAAATGGATCTCTAAACTGTCTGCGCTTCTTTAATTAATGAAGTAGCAGTTAGTCAAGCAATGCAACTTTCGACGTTGAGCCGGGGGTCTCTTTGGAAACAGCCTCTCTACTTTCGAGTAGGGG